AATTTTTTAAAAACTTCATCTTTTAATAGAAACAAATGTGACAATTCCTAGACCTATTATGATTGTGGTTTCTGAATGTTTTTCCTGATGGTGTAAGGTTTAAGGGGAAAAAATAGCCTAGAAGGAAGAAAAAGTGAGCAGGATTCCAATTCTTTTCTGCTCGCTGGGGAACACATGCTTTCCAAATACTGGGAGGAGAGGAGAGGAGAGGAGAAGAGAAGAGAGGAGAGGAGCCACCTGGGTTCTTTCTCAGCTCTGAGTCTGTTTTGGCTCCAGAATACACTCCACTTTCCCCAAGCTGATAGCTTTCAGTTCCAATATTTTTTTCTCAGAAATGCGCAATCTCGTGAGAGCTCCTTGGTGAGCTTCTGTAGCCCCAAGGAAACATCTAAAGGGACCCTGATATGTCATTAGTTTAGAATCAATGAGATTGGGGGTCCCAGAGGGCAGGGCTTCCTTCTGTATGTATTTATCCCCATACGGACAGTCACAGAATAGGTGGTTAATAAAAGATAAATTGAATAATTTACCTACTAAATGAATGAATTGAATGAATGAATGCTAAATCTCACAGTAATCTACCAATGATGTTAGATAGAAAGGAGTTATATCTATAGATTAAAAGGCATATCAAATAATGCAATGTTTGGACCTTGTTTCCATTTTTATTCAAAGATTTTTTTTAAACGATGCAATTTGGAAATTTGAACACTAACTAGATATGGTTTTTCTTTTCTTTCTTTCTCTTGCTTTTCTTTTTTGAGACGGAGTTTCTCTCTTATTGCCCAAGCTGGAGTGCAGTGGTGCCATCTCGGCTCACCACAACCTCTGCCTCCGGGGTTCAAGTGATTCTCCTGCCTCAGCCTCCTGAGTAACTAGGATTACAGGCGTGTGCCACCACGCCCAGCTGATTTTTTTTTTTTTTTTTTTTTTTTTTTTTTTTTTTAGTAGAAATGGGGTTTCACCACATTGGCCAGGCTGGTCTTGAACTTCTGAACTTAGGTGATCAGCCCACCTCAGCATCCCAAAGTGCTGGGATTACAGGTGTGAGCCACCGCACCCAGGCATTTTTTTTTAAAACTTTTAATGTAGTCACCATTTAAAAATAGATTTTACAGTAAGATCCAGCTTATTTTGGAAAATGGGAATATCTGGCCACAGATGGGCCCACCTCCCCACTCAGCGACCATGTGCTGGAATTACGGTGTGGTTACTCGATTTTGGAGGTGGTTCCCACAGTCCCCATCTCAGGCCCAGGATACGTGCTAATTTTTCCACAAAGACTTCTCTAATCACCCCAAACAGGACTGATTTCTCATCCCTCGGAGCCCTCGGAACCCATTTCAATTACTCACCTAAATCCTCCACATGCTGCCTATATGTGGTTATTTCTGGATGTCTTATCTCCCCTCTTCCTCCTACACCCTGGCTGGAATGAGGCCTTTTGAGGCTCTACACACTGAAAAGATTAGCAGGGTGCCTCCCCATATGTAATTCCCAATAAAATTTTATTTTTCAAAGTGACAGTGCTTACAAATAAGTTAAGGACAAACTTCTAGATTAAAAAAAAATTCTTGGCTGGATGCAGTGGCTCACACCTGTAATCCCAGCACTCTAGGATGCCAAGAAGGGTGGATCATTTGACCTCAGGAGTTGGAGATTAGCCTGGGCAACATGACAAAACCCCATCTCTACTAAAAATACAAAAATTAGCCTGGTGTCGGGGTGCATACCTGTAATCCCAGCTACTCGGGAGGCTGAGGCAGGAGAATTGCTTGAATCTAGGAGGCGGAGTGTGCAGTGAGCCAGGATCACACCAATGCACTCCAGCCTGGGTGATAGAGTGAGACTCCATCTCAAAAAATGAAGAAAAAAAAAATATCTATTTTCTTCTAATGAAGAACAACTTCTTATTTTGAAAACCCTCAAATCAAATCTTTACCCCTAAAATCTTCAACATCTTTCTCTCTCTGTTTTGTTTTGTTTTTTTTTTTTTGTTTTTTTTTTTTTTTTTTGAGATGAAGTCTTGTTCTGCTCTCAGGGTGGAGTACAGTGGGTGATCTCAGCTCACTGCAACTTCCATCTCCAGAGTTCAAAGGATTCTCTTCCCTTAGCCTCCTGAGTAGCTGGAATTACAGGTATGCGTCACCACGCCCAGGCAATTTTGGGGTTTTTGTTTTGTGGGTTTTTGTTTTTTTTCTGTATTGGTGGGGTTTCGCCATGTTGGCCAGGCTGATCTGGAACTCCTGAGCCCAAGCAATCTGCCTGCCTCGGCCTCCCAAAGTGCTGGGATTACAGGTGTGAGTATTTCTTAAGAAGAAGTACATTTTCCTAGGTGACCACAACATCATTCACACAAGAAAATTCACACCCAAGAAATTTGACCTTGATACAATATCATGTACCATACAGTTCATATTCAAGTTTTCTAATTGTGCCAGTAATGTATGCCCTTTAAAACTTCTTTTAAAAATTGGAGTCCTAATCAAGGATCATACATTGCATGTGGTCCCTTTTTTTTATTTTTCTTTCTTCTTCTTTTTTTTTTTTTTTTTAGACCGAGTCTTGCTCTGTTGCCAGGCTGGAATGCAGTGGCATGATCACGGCTCACTGCAATTTTGGCCTTCCAAGTTCAAGCGATTCCACTGCCTCAGCCTCCCAAGTAACTGAGACTACAGGCACACACCACCACGCCCGGCTAATTTTTTGTAATTTAGTAGTGATGGAGGTTTCACCATGTTGGCCAGGATGATCTCCGTCTCCTGACCTCATGATCGGCTGGCCTCGGCCTCCCAAAGAACTGGGATTACAGGCATGCACCAATGTGCCCGGCCTGCATGCAGTCTCTTTAGCTGTCTGTGATCGGGAACACTTCCCTGATTTTTGTTGTTAGTCTTTCATGACACTAAAATTTCAAAGCCTTGGGGCCAGTTTTTTGTAGGCTATCCCACAGTCTCTACCTCTGTCTGAATGTTTCTTCATTATTAGATTTAGGTTCAACATTTTTGTGAGAAACTACAAAGCTGATGTGGTTTGCTAAATTTTCTGTTGGTGGAGTTCCAGATACGGTCATGAAAGCTGAACTTTTGTTTGTGTATGTGTGTGTACTTTGTGGGCACCTTAATAATATGTGTGTCGTATTAATAATCTTGGCTACCATCCTGGATATCATGCAAAACATTAGCCGGGTGTCAAGGTGCATGCCTGTAATCCAGCTACTCGGGAGGCTGAGGCAGGAGAATTTACTTATAAACAGGGCTTCAGAAATTATAATGCCAAAATGTTTATTTTCCCCACTAGTTGGTTTTTTGTTTTTTGTTGTTGTTGTTGTTGTTGTTGTTTATTTTGTTTTGTTTTTTTTGAGACAGAGTCTCTCTCTGTTGCCCAGGCTGGAGAGCAGTGGTGTGATCTCAGCTCACTGCAACCTCCACCTTCCAAGTTCAAGCGATGCTCCTGCCTCAGCCTCTTGAGTAGCTGGAATTACAGGCGCCCATCATGGTGTCCAGCTAATTTTTGTATTTTTAGTAGAGACGGGGTTTCTCGGTGTTGGCCAGGCTGGTCTTGAACTCCTGACCTCAGATGATCTGCCTGCCTCAGCCTCCCAAAGTGCTGGGATCACAGGCATGAGCCACCACACCCGGCCTCACACTAGCATTAATCTACGTCGTCATAAACACTTATTGACCACGTTTAATTTTTTGTTAAATCTGTAGGTGTAACATAATGTCTTTTTCCTTTGTTTGTTTTTTGTTTTGTTTTGTTTTGTTTTTAAGACAGAGTCTCTATCGCCAGGCTGGAGTGCAGTGGTGCAATCTTGGCTCACCACAACCTCTGCCTCCCTGGTTCAAGCGATTCTCAAGTCTCAGCCTCTTGGGTAGCTGGGATTACAGGTGCCTGCCACCACACTCAGGTAATTTTTGTATTTTTAGTAGAGATGGGGTTTCACCATGTTGGCCAGGCTGTTCTCAAACTCCTGACCTCAAATGATCCACCCACCTTAGCCTCCCAAAATGCTGGGATTACAGGCATGAACCACCTCACCTGGACCTATATTACATATTATATTACATATATTATATATTAATACATGTAACATATGCTGTTATTGCTAATATATGTAATATATGGTATTATTAGCTTCTTCCTTTTTATAGTTTCCATGTCATTTGGAGACTCATTGGGCTCGCCAAGGTGCCCATCTCACAAGCGGTCCTGCCCACTTTGGGGATGTCCTGCACCACATTTAATGGCCACAGCCATAAAGTGTGTCCCTATAACCGTGTCACCACACACATGCTCATAACAGTGGTGACTCCACCTCGTACAGGCAAGCGTCCATGAACTGAGGTCTGCCCCTTAAGGGGTCTGGCCAATTATGGTTTTCCTTGTGAATTGGAAAAACATTCTGCGACCCGGTAGTGTCTCCTAAAATCCAGAGAGATTGATGCCAGTAAGTCCCCTGCCTCTCTTTAAAGACTCACAGACATCTTAAAGATATTTCACCCAACTTTGAGACCTATGTGTCATGATTTATTCTGCAACAGTTAACGGAAGTCTACTCATGACGGGGCCCCTAGCACCTCAAAACCACCCTGCCAACCCCAAACTCTCCCTGGGCTTCTTCCCCCAACTTGGGTGTTTCTTTGTGTAGTGTTTCAAGGACTAACTAGTAAACTCATGATACAAGCGCACCCAGGAGGCACGCCATAAATGCTCCTTGAATAAATGAATGAGGAAGGACTGTTACTGCGTTGCTAGGTAAAGGGAAGGAACGTTGGGGGGCCAATCTAGGTGCTGATTGGCTAGTCCCCGCAATGCAATAGGGGTAGAGCACAGAACTTTGAAGAGGGTTCTTTAGACGAGGCAGTCGTGGCCCAGCTGGCGAGGAGGTGGGACGCAGGAAGCAATCCTGCCTCGTTCCCGGGTCCGAGGCGGGCGCGGTGGCCCTTCGGGCCCCGCCCCGCCCCGCCCACCGGCAGCCGGGCCACCGCCCCAGCGGAGGTCCCGCCGACGCCTGCGCAATGTATCCTTACTGCCACCACTGCCTCCAGTCCCGAATACAGTGATGGCGGACGGCTCCGCCGCCGGCGCTGGCGGCAGCACATCCTTAAGAGAGCTGCGGCCACGGCTGGGTGAGCGGGCGGGCGGCCGGCTCCCGGGGGTTGCTCGGTCCTACGTGGGAGGCGGGGCTCCGGCAGACCCCCGGCCGTCGGAGCGGCGCAGCGGGCACCACAAAACTTTAACCTGGAGTCGCCTGGCGCTATCCGGTCCTCCCCTCACCCCCGCCGGAGTCCCCTGGGATGGGACAGGGAGTAGCCCTGGGCCTGGGGCGGGGGCGGGGGGTTGAAACGGTCGGCCGACGCCGCCAACGGTCTAAGCCCCACAGGCACGGCGCGAGGAAACTCACCGACTCTGCTTCGAGGCGCGGGGCGGGGGTGGGCTGGAACCCGGACCTCGCGGACCGCCCCGAGCCCTGGCTATCCATGGGGGGCGGCAGTCGCCCGCGCAACGGCCCCAACAGCCCCAACGGACGCGACGCTGCTCCGGCTGTGCGGGCGCCCGCAGGGACTCCGCGCGCCGGCTCCGCCCCCGCGTCCAGGCTGCCTTTCCAGGCACGGAGACTTTGAGTGATCCCCCAGCCCGGGACATGGGCGAGTTTAGGCGCTTTGACTGTCGCAGCCCTTGCTTCTCCCAAACACTTACCTCCTGCACCCTCCTGGTCAACGTCCAGGAGGAAGCGGGGTGAGGGTGCGGGTGTTTAAAAGTTGCTTTAAAAGTTGGGATGAAACTTGGCTCTTTTCATCTCCTGATTTGCCTGCTGTAGCACTTGACTTCGACAAGATGTCACCTTCCGTGGTACATCTTGCAGCCCCTAGGCTGAACTGAACGAGGATCAGCATTTCAGAGTGCTTTTTCCTCAATGGGTCCCAGCGCCAAGAAGTTTTTCCCTCCTCGAAAACCGATAATCTTATACAATTTGACAGCGAATTGCTTGGTCCAAGAGACTGCTCCACTACCTGAGATAGGATTTCTTCCTTGCAGGAGGTTGCTTTTAGCTTGTTAAGACTAGTTCCCTCTGCTATGAGTGCAAATAAAATGATTTTATTAGTTTTAATTGAATTTCTTAGGGTTTTTCTTTGCATTTGTAATTAAAAAGTTAGATTGTCTGAGACTGGGAAGCTATATGTTACTTGAGAAGACTTTGAATCAGCTCTCCAAAGACTGTGTCAGAAGTATATACTACATACACTTTCACCATTCATTAGGGAGAAACGAATCTTCCTTCTGTGTCTAAATTTATGGTTCACCTAGAAAGAGAGTCTCCAATAAATTGTGTTGCTGATTGGTACCTGGAACTCTCTGACACTGGTTTATTTCACTGATTTAGATTAACCAGCATTACTCCAATGCAAAAGAGCTGTGGACTGAATAACCCCCTAAAAGTATTTGAATATCAGATGTTAGAAAGTGTTTTAAAATTATGTATAGTGCAGATACTTGAATTCACAGCATTTCGAACCAAAAACTTAAGAGCCATGCAAAAGGCTTAACCCACGACTCTGGTTTAAGTCCTTGCTGCCCATTTCATGCTTGGAATTGGAAATATCACATGTTGGACCTTCTTTCACAGAGCACCAACTTCACCAGAACCGCCCTTTAGATCTTAGCATTTTCCTTAAGGGGTCACGGAGACAGATGTTTTTGCTAAAATGTTTTCATGTTCTGCTGGGAGCCTGGCAGCAAGAGTTAAAACTGTCTTGAACACATAACATATAGATGCACAGTACAGTCTAAATACATTTATTTTATACATTTATGTATGCATTAAGAGATACACTTACATAAATGTTACGTATAAAGTGTAAATATGCATGTATTGAGTTATGTTTTCTGTGCATAGCACTGTGCTGAGGTTATAGCATACCAAATATTTATTTTAATGAAACACATGTGTTTCATAGTTTTATGCAGAATTGTTTTAAAATAATTTATTTGAATATTTCAACCAGCTGAGCATAAGAAACTTACCACTGACTTATCACGTTTCCTTTCCTGGTTTTCTAAATTCACAAATGTTTCTCAGTTTAGAATAACTTATTCAAAGAATAATTTCTACCTATGCAGAAAAAGTTACTGAGATTGACAGCCAGATTATCATACAACTTTAGAGTTGGGGAATCCTTAAGATTATCTTGTCTGGCATCCAGAGTACCAGCTGTAAAATCCTGGGACACTTCTGCCACTTGAATGTGTACCCTAATGAGGAGCTTAATATTTTTCTAAGTAGCCATTCCATTGTAAACAGCTCTAAATAGTAGAAAATGGTCTGCAATTTTGTCTTCAAGACATGCTATCGTTGGTTTGAACTTGCAGGTCTTCTGAAAGTCTCAGCCCTATGACTTTGGCTTTTGCCATTCAAGACAAAATTCTGTGAATCTGCCTGATTTTTATGGTTCTCTGATTTCTTTTCCTGTTATTTTTTTCTTAATATTTTAGAATAAAGTTGCTTTGAAATTTACAGTTAAGTTCTGGCTTCACCACTTACCACCTGTATGATCTGAAAAAGTTGTTTAACTTCAGTTTTCTCAAGTGTAAAAATAAATGGGGGAAAATAATTTTGACTACTTTATAGGATTGTTATAAGAATTACATTAAGTAATACAAAAGAACTTTGTAAATGGTGAACTGATATATAATAATGTGTTATGAAAGTTTTTAGAAAAGTACCATAGATGCATATTAAGATTCATAATTCAGTTTTAGTAATAAACTACACATTTTCTTAATCTACAGGCAAAATATAACTTTTACTTTAATTTTGGATTTAGAATTAGTATAAGGACTACAGAAACACCTTGCGGTTACTTTTAACTGAATATTAATTCCCTCATTCATTAAAATGCATGCTAAGTAAATTCTTTCATTCAATGAAGTTGTATAAATTGTTGACCCTATTATATCCAGACATAAAGGCATTATCCCATTGCCTGGACATTTTAAATATTTTTTAAAGCCTGTCCTTTCTGTTAATGTATTTATTACCAGTAGGAATTTGGATACAAAGGACTAAAAATCAGATTTGATACTACTACCACATTAACCTTTATAGGATTTGGTTCATTATTCTCATCACAGCTACTTCTAAGGTTATTTCTGTTTAATAAGATTTTTAATTTGGTAAAAATGTACTTTTTTGAGACAGGGTATCTCTTGCCCAGGCTGGCATATAGTGGCATGCTAACGGCTCACTGCAGCCTCAAACTCTTGGGCTCAGCCTCCTAAATAGCTGAGACTGTAGGTGTGCACCACCACACCCAGTTAATTTTTGTATTTTTGTAGAGATGGGGGTTTGCCATGTTACCCAGGCTGATCTCAAACTCCTGACCTGAAGTAATCCACTTGCCTTGGCCTCCCAAAGTGCTGGGATTTCAGGCATGAGCCACCACACTGGGCCAAAAATGTACATGTTGGGAGAAATTGTCAGCTAAATAGTGTCAAATACAGACTATCCTTAGGACTTCTAAACAGGAGAACTGAATGTGTACAAACAATATTACAAGATACTTTGCTTTCTCTGCAGTCACACAAAAATGTTCTATAGACTAAGAAGTTTTGTTCATATACTAGTGCTCAAATTCAGAAGATAATTGTGGTCCATGGAATTGCCAGTAGTTAAATTATTAAGGAAGCTGAGAAGAGTCTAATTTTCAAATTAAGCTAGGTCATGCATTATCTGGGCTGTTAGGCCTCTGTGGTAAAAAAAAAAAAAAAAAAAAAAAAAAAAAAAAAAAAAATCATTTTTCTCTTTGGAAATGGTAATCCTTATGGCAGCAATTGTGATGTCACTTTCAAGGTTATGCTGTAAAATAACTCCCTCAGTAGCAATTAACATCTCAGAGTTTATTCATTTTATAAGTGCAAGGACAGCCCCCTATTCCCTCAGTTATTTTAACTGCCCATCTTCAACTGTTATATTTTTCTTAATATATAGAAACCAAACTTGTATGCAGTATCACAGGGGCTTACTTCCTGTGCTTTTCTACAAGGGTGGAACAGAGTTAGTTTTCAGTATTATTCTCCAAACTCTTTCTGAAGATACTCAGTATTGTGGGGCATTTTAGATACAGCCATATGTGGAATTAAAGGATTCAGGGATTCCTCTTACTGTTCCTCATACTGTACTTTCCTAATCTTACACTTCACTCTTATTGAAGTTTATCACTTTTTCTGCCTGTTTACATGTTTGTTTGCACATTGTATATATTTGTTTGCTTGACATCTACCTAGAATGATACCATCTCACTGGAGATTCCTTCTTCTAAAAGAATAGTTATTTCTCCACCTTCAGTGTGCATCAGAATAAAGCTTTTAACAACTGTCAGTGCCTGGGCTGCACACCCAGAGACTGGTGGTGGGGAGCAGGCAGGCAGGCATTGCTGATTTTTTTAAAGTGACTTAGGTGACTCCAATGTGCAATCAGGGTAGAAAGCCCCTAATTTAGGTAATTTATAAATGTACTCCTTAACATTCGTTTGACCTGATCTCTGAGTATTTCACTGTTAACACTTTGCTTTGAAATTCAGATCCATAAATTCTTAACCTGTTATCTTCTAAATTTCCAATTTATGGTGAAACTTAATTTTTCCAATTCCTTGCCAGCTCAGTTTTTCTAACACTTGGTGTAACGCCTTGTCTGAGACATCTTCGAAATCTATTAATCATTGGCTCCTACTCATCCACAAGCTTGTTCTGCCAGTGCCACTTACAATTATCTTTATGTCTACAAATACCCTGGCCCATCATAGTGAACACTTTAAATTCTTTGTTAAAGTATTGTTGAAGATCATAGACGTTCAATATATCTTTGTTGTTGACCCAGATGAAATCAGTCATGATTTTTAGAAATGATCCTATCCTTTATCATCAGATACAGTTGGCTGTGGTTTGCTAACCCCTGTGTTAGCTATTCATATTCTTAATACCTAATCCCTTTATCTCCCTGTGTTTTAGTTGCTGCAGCACACCAGATTGCAGAAAGGCAGAAACAAGTTGTGGTTAATAGCATTTCATTCCATTCCTCAAATATAAGATCGACATTTAAACCAGGTATAACTTCTCTGTTGCTTTGATAGATGTCAAAGTGCCCTATCTTTAAAATTTGATATCCTATTAATATCTAACTATATTCTTTTTTTTTTTTTAGTAATCGATGGATCTGTACTTAAAAATGACGAAAAACAAAGATTAGTAAGAGAGAGGCGGGAGGAGAAAAAAAGACAGCAAGATGGTATATTTTAGACCTTTTTCAAAAATCAAAATGAATTTTATGTTGTATACTGTGAAGTGTTTTTAACTTCTCCTCATTTGTTTATATGATAGATTATAATTTTTGTATTATGTATTATTTTGGGTTAAATCCTTTTACTAAATCAGGTAAAGAAGGCCCATGAAAATTCTTTAACTAAATTGTTTAATTTTTGAAGGAGTAGTTTAAGTTTTGATTATCTGAAAACTAAGGTCTGGAAATTTCTTCAGTATTTGTGAAAACAATCAGAATAAGATTTCAGTAAAAGTGATTCTAAAAATGAAAATAAGTTGCCAATAATCCTAACACGAATAAGAGGAAAGCATGTTACCAAGTTATAAAAAGATTATTCTTTTAGATCCTAATTTATACAGAGTGACACTTCAGAAGCATTTAGTGAGAGAAAATTTTAATATAGGAAAAATTGTTCTCTCCTATAATATGGTACATAGCTAAGTCCATTAATGTAAAACTGGCATGTTTAATATGGTCTGTATAGATGAGAACTTTGAAAGAAGTTTCTCAGTAGAAGGAAACAAAACATATATCCTGGCCATGTGGTTTTAAAAAAGTTTTATTTTAATATACAGCATATTAATATGGTGGGGTTTGACTTTAACTCAAATCAGCAGAAATATCACATAAAAGAAAATATTTTTTCTTAACTTGGAATTGTAGTTTGCACAGGATGAGAGACAATCCAGTTCTCCAGAAATTAAATGAATACTCAGTGAAAATGGTTCTTCATTGGCTACCTCTGTTCACTTTATAATAAATCTTTAGTTACTAACACAGACTAGCACAGATTGTGTTATATTAAGAAAGAGAATGAGATATGTTAACTTTTCCCTTCTGTCTGTGTAATGTGGAAAACCTAAATATTTTCTTGGTTCTTACACATTGAAAATGTGTTTGGAATATTTCAGCTGATAAGGAGACACATCTACTTGAAAAAGAAAGAAAGACCAGCCTCCGACACAAGCAGCAGATGGAAGAAAAGCAGAGAAAGCTCAGGGAGCGAAAAGAGAAAGGTGAAAGAAGGAGAATAGCCGCAGAAGAAAAAAGACACCAGAAGGATGAGGCATTAAAGGTACATAATCTTACAGCCAGCGCGTGAGAAGATAAACTGTGTTGCCTGAGTCTGGAATGTTTTCTTAGGCCTTCTCTGCAGTACTGGCCCTGTAGAAAGGGAATTAATCCCAGCTCGCTCTTCTTCGCTTCTTCTTCTCCTCAGTATTACAAGCTCGTACTCCTGTTCTGATAAGATCCCTGGAGCTTAGACCCACTAGCCCAGGGAAGGAGGAGCCTTGCAAATCCAGGAATAAAGCCCTATCCACCTTCAGGACTTGGCACGTGAGGAAGCTGTGGCCTGGGGTTTATTCTGAGTGGCTCTATTGTCTCATTGCCTACAGAATAATGGCAGACCCCACTGTCTGACCCTCCCAACATGCCCTCATCTGACCCATGGTTCACAACTCCTTTAAGAGTGTGACTCCCCAGCCAAATCAGGGCACTTGCTCTCCCTTTCAGCATCCCTGGCGCCCTCTGGTGTGCACTCATACTCTCTCCCTCTCCACCCTCTGTCCCGGTATTCCTCACTTTCCCTTTCCTGGCAGGGACCCTCTGGACATGTGGTTCAGAGTCAGCATTCTTGCTGTTGTTTTGTGGCACTGCCCCTCTTTTCCTTTCTAAATTCTCTTTTGGTGTCTTTGGCACTATGTTGGGATGAGTCTGTGGCTTTGTTACACCCTCTCTTTTTCACTTCTTTCCCTTTTCAGTTTGTCTTTTGTTGTTTATATTGGACATCTGGCCACCTATCTCATTCTGTGATTCTCTCTGACACCGAATTTTTCTCTTATAGGTCATTTCACTACTTGATTTGGAGTATGCTTGACTCCTTCTGAATCTAGCGTGGTCTCTCTGATACCATTCTCTATCTTCCCGATGTTCTCACTTTCTCTTTATTCCAGGGATTCTTAAGTGTCCCTAAATAAGCCTTAGTCTGTCTTTGGGTCTCTGTCTGATTCTGGCCTTTTTCTGCCTGAGGCATCTTGCTTTCTTTCTTCTGTCTTTGTCGTACCTTCTGTTTTTTCCCATCTTTAGACTCTCTGTCTGTCATTCTCTCAGTGTGTTCTATTTTTATTTGCCTCTCTTATTTTGTCACTCTAATTTTTGCATTTTTTTTTCTCTCCTTTTCTTTTTGGTTCCATTTCTTCCACGAAGAAGCTTATTGTCTTCCTCTGTGGTACTCACTTTCCTCCTTTCCCATCTATACTGTTGCTCTTGTACGTGCTTCCTCTCCAGCCCTGCTCCCTATCTGGAGAGCTTCCTGATTCCAGAACACCTCTTACGCCACTTCTTCTCCATACGTGGTGTACTATCTGTCTTTCTAAACCTTTTTCTGTGGTTTATGCTCTGTTTAATGTTCCACTATTTGGTAGACTCATTCCGAATTTCTATCACTTTCCATCATCCTCTGTGAAACATCTCCTTATTTTACTTATCTGTGGTGAAGAGATGAAGGCCAGAGAGAGAGAGATTATGAACTAAGTAAAGATAGTTTGAGAACCAAAGGAAGTGAAGCATAAACTGTGTGTAGAGTGAGGGGGAGTGCATGGAGGAGAGAGTCCCAGGGACTGAGACCAAAAAATAAAGACAATCTTGGAGAAAGAGGAAGCTGCCAGAAAGAACAGAGAAGAGAGTGCAGCAAAATGACACGGCAGACAGAAAGGGAGCCACAGACATGGCATGAGAAGGGGCAAAAGAAAACCCCAGAGAGCTAGTGTGGGGGAGTCCCAGACAACACGAGGCATGTGGCACTGTAAGTAGGCTACATATAGCAAAAGAGAGGAATTCTAGAGAGCAGGAAAAAAAAAACAAAAACCAGACTCAGTGGTGCTGAGGAGGGATGAGCATGGACAGGAGGTGTATATGAGATGGGATAGGAACTTCCATGTGAGTCCTGGGTGGCCACAGTGTGAGAAGGGACCTGGATGAGAGCACAGGAAGTAATGCCTTTGGAAACAGTGGAATAGAATCAGAAATAGTTTAATAATACAAGATTAATCTTTGTTTTTAGTCTATTACAGTTTCAGGGTTTCTAAGTAATTCAGAACAACTGCCTTTCTGTTAGATAATATAATTTTCAAATACTGCCATTACATCAATTTTATTTTAAGAATTGCAGTTGCTTTTCTTCTCAGAAGGTATGGCTGCTCTCCGTTTTCCTAGTATGTTTATCTTTGCCCTTGGTAGAAACAGTACAGACTTTGTAAGGATGACGTTTGCTGTGAAATGGTTGTTGACAGGGAAGAATAGAAAACCTCTGGCCCTAAAAGTTGATTTGCTTCCCTGAGTTCATGGTATGGTGCAGTGCAAGGATGAGAAATATTTGAGAGAAGAGCTCACTTCTGGAAGTGGAGTTGTTTTGCTGCACCGTGGCATCGACTTTGTATAGTGTCTTGATCACTTTAAGTTAAAGTTGAGGTCAAGACAAATATATTGATTATCTTTTTGAAACTTTATTTTTATTAACACCAGAATTTAAGCTGTTACAGATGAGAGTATAATAGGTGATTCTTGTATAAATTTAACTTATATGTGTGCTGATTTTTTCCCGTGCCGCATTCCACAAAGAATTTAAGGTGACTTAAAAATGCATGCCACACCAGATGATAAAATAAATGGTTGAGGGAATCAAGCAGAGGGGAAAATTAAGGTAGGCAAATAAAACATAAAGTGTGATTAGCATACACAAAAGTATACCCATCAGTTTTTGTACAGTTGCTAGAAATAGGCTACAAACTTGGTTCTAAATTTCCTAATGATACAAGGCATGGTCATTTTCTCAATGCAGGGTCTATAAGATAAAAAAAATGAGTTATTCAAGAGAAGCACTGGTATTGATTGATAGTTGAGACATGTCTCCAATTATTTTAAACTTTTACCTGATACAGAAATTTGGTGATGGTTTATTTTATAAACCACACAACAAAATTATACTGACTAATATAATGAATATGTAAGAATATGTTGGCATTTGCTTTAAATAGGAGAAATTTGCAGCCATTCTTCACCACACATTGGAAAAGAGGAGACTTGCTATTGAATATCAGCAAAAAAGATTGTCATTGGGAGGCTCTGCCATGGCGAATTCTGAGAACAAAACTGGTAATTAATACATCTGTTAAATTTTAAGTTCGTTTATGTTCTTGATTAAATATTGGCTATGAATAGAAGCTTGCATTACAGCAAGGTTTTAGTCTTTGTATCCTAAACAAAAATACTGTAAATGGTAAATTTAAATTTGTGTCATTTGCCATTGCAAAAGAAACAGGTGAAATTTTATAGTAGCTTTTATTTAGCTCAATATACCTACAATCTTATTGAAACTTATCAGCAGAAAAATGATGAATTGGTGAATAATGACTACGCTTTACACAGCTTATTGAATGCATATTTTAAAAAATAAGTCTGCCTTATCTATTGATTGAGTGTAAATTTTCTTATGTGTACATAATTCTACACAATTTCAGAAAACGAAAGTAAAATTTATACAGTTCAGAAGGATTGGCCAGGTGCCGTGGCTCGTGCCTGTAATCCCAACACTTTGGGAGGCCAAGACGGGCACATCACTTGAGGTCAGGAGTTCGAGACCAGCCTGGCCAACATGGTGAAACCCCTGTCTCTACTTAAAAAAAAAAAAAAAAGGAATGACAGGTAGTGAATATTGTGAACTTCAGTAATGTAAGTCTGTGCTCCATGGAACTATACCATTAAAACTCGTTTTGTTTCAGTTAAGTGATGCTTCCTCCTTGAAATATGATTATCATAAGTGTTACTCTTTTCTCACCAATAAACAATTTTTTAAAAAGGTAGAAACGGAAAGGGTGGGATGGAAAGGAGAGGGCTAGGAAGAGGAGGAGGGGCGGAATTGACGAAAGGAGTGGGGAGGGGGAAGGGAAGAAAGAAAGAAGGTGAGAACGGGGGGTGGGGAAAGGGAAAATGCAAGTGAGTGTGAAATAAGGTGACATGGAGGCAAGGAGGGGGCACGTTGCCTTTTCGTCCAGGACAAATGCCTTCACATCTGTAGCAAACGAACGATTGTGCTACTCCCTGCTTTGAAACTTGCGAATAATCCAATTATTAAGCCAAAGAGGTAAAAGTAGTTTGTACTTTGATGTACATAAAGTTTCGTCTAGTACTAAGACTTTGGCCTCCCTACATACTATAATGACTCGTATATAGGGTCACTTTGAGGCCTAGTGCTCAAAAAGGAATTGTATGTTTAGCTTATGTATGCCTACCTATTCTCTATCTGAATTGTTTTCCGATTTAGAACTGAATTTTAGATGTTAGTTTTAATTATCAGAATTGATTTTGTAACAGTCACCTGTACCTATATTTTTTTACAGAATTGTGGAACATTTGAGAGTTAGATGAATGATTTTTACAGTCATAAAGCATGTACCTTTTTTTATGTTATTTTTTATCTCAGCAGGATGAATGCGCAGATGAATCTTTACTACTGTTTACTTAGCCCTCGTTTTTTTTGCCTTTCTTGAGTCGCTAAGTAGCATGGATCTACCACTGACAACCGACGTCTGTTCCTACACTCGCTGGGCTCTCGCCAAGTGCAGTTCGGCTGCGAGTGCATGCTCATCAGCCATGCTTCACTGCCCTCAACCGTAGCTGAGCTGCCATTCATGCGTGCACCACCTCCTAACGCGGCCCTCAGTGCAGGCTATCTCTGTTTGTGCATAAGGCCTCCCCGAGTAACAGCTGTGATTTTTGGGAGAAGCGTGACGTGGGTGTTCAGCCCACATCCGTTGGACCCCAGCTGTGTCCCTCAGAATCTATACTCTTTTGTCGTCATCCTCTTTGGTAGAGACAGGTTTACAGACTAGTCACAACTCCACATGTTGGCCGCCAAGCTTGCGACTCTCCCCGACCAAGGATTACAGAGTTATACAGATTTTCATAGGACCTCTACCAAGTGATTACCACGATTACACAGTGCACGTTTACGGCACCATTCCCAAGGATTACAGATTACAGCTGGATGTAGCCTTGTCTCAATGTTTTCCATTAGACATTATGACTAGCTACGTTTAGCTCATTTTCATGATGGCTTTTTGGTGTCCCTTAGTATTCTATTCATCTCGATCAATGGTAGCGTTAGTGTTTGCAGTGGCCCATCTAGTAGTCTCTTGTTCTATGACATTAATACACGATATAATGGGTTGTTTTGAGCGCAACCGCAGTAGACACTCAATTTAGCTGCCATTGCAGTACATGAAATATATTGACCATTTTATGACATTGCCTAAATTATTAGTTCATGATGAAATTCCTATAATCTACACTAATCTTACTTTATAAATTGAAGTTCAATCCATAGTTGTCTATGCCAATATCTTGCTAGACTGGGGGAAGTTAATGGAAAATCTATAGTGTATGTTTCCTCAATTTTCTGGGACTTAAGGTTAGTAGAATCGTAGAATATTATCCTCATTCTAATTCATCCTGTAAACAGAATTAATAGCATGAATATATAACCTATATTCATTAGTGAGAAGAAACAAATGAATTAGGCATATACTGCAATTACTAATTCATATGCATGTGGCTCTAATAGTTTGATTATCTGCATGCCATATCATTTATCTCATTGTTATGATTATTATATTGACAGACTCAAGTATCATATCTTACTTCCTTCCTAGATGTAAATTTGATACAGATTCAGAAGTATACCTATTCCGAACGAATATTTCCTTGTTTTGTAACTCTTCCACAGACTTCGCAACGAAGTGAAATCCTCAGTTCATATGTGACTTTCACCTATATTGCTGTTCCATTTTATAGGTGGGATCAATATCGCAATTACATAATTTTCATATGGTTTATATTATTTGTGGTCATTTTGATAGGTGGAATCTCATTTTAGATATAATATTAAGGGTAAACTAATCATTGTTGCACCCTTCCTCCATAATAATAGTCACATAAGCTCAATGCATATTTCATTACTGATTCTCCACAATGACCTAAGATAGTCAATATAAGAGTAGATATTGCACAATGACTGCCATGTTTAATAATAAAAGATCAGCACTTCTTCCTTATTGCAGTAAGGCTAACCTACAGAATTTATTATGTCTCTTTCCAAATATAGTGGACAGTTATACAGTACGTATGCTTATGTTAGAAATATAGTGAATTCAGATATTCTATTCTGTACTTCCATGGGATGAAGTTTCAATTTTGGTACTCATCTTTTTAATGACTTAAATCTGGTGGTTTCCGCTTAACCTTATAAAGAACATTACCTCTATATGACTGTCCATTATGTGATAGGTGTCAATAGAACATACAGTCTCGTAGCTTAGCCCAAGTCGTGTAGACTCACTAGGTTACTAGCCCGTCCTTCTGGCACTTAGCTTAGACACTAATTCTAGATAGGAATTAGGCCATCAAATCTAAGGCAGCCACTCTCTATACTCTGAAATTACAGAGATCCACTAAGAAGCAGCACGATTCCCTATCACTTCCATATCTCTTCAATAAAAGCGAGAATACCAGTAAATATTGGGATCTGTTCCTTAGAGGGAAAGGGAAAAGGAGTGGAGAGTCATACTTAGTGTAGTTTCAAGGCAAAGATCAATTGCCCCATTTAAACCAAATTCAGCCCAATACTATCAATTACACACAAAATGAAATTAAAGAAAGATTCAGACGTGCCATTTTTAAAGAATAAAGACCATTATGATATAATGTAGCAGAAACGTATTTGCATGAACCTTTAATGAGAATTTGACCTTTAAAATGTAAGCAATACATGTTTTATGACGTATTCGTCATTTATTGAGAATTGATCTTGGTTATCACTTTGCTATTTGATGTTAGGTCATTCCTGCTGATTGCACTACTTAAATTTATTTCCGTGCGACACAATGGGCAAAACTTGTTGATTGATCTATCATATTAAAGTAAGCACTAGTTAATTTGCTAGCAAAAGTAGTTTTTAGTACTTCTATGAATTAAAGATAATATGATTCATCTATGTTTAGCTAGTAGTCATATAAACCTATGAATAAGAGATTTTTCCATTATTTGCAATTTACAACAAATAGTTGAATTTTCTAGTAATATTATAAGTGAATTTTTAAGAGTATTTCAATAGGGGAACGTGGCTGAAACAGATGATATGATTTGTTACTAATTTTAGAAGAACATCTTACTAGACAATTAATTTGCAATTTGGATGAACTTTTGAAGGAGAGCTCTTTTATTGGCAAAAATTTTCACATTGATGTCTATCTTGATAGATCCAGGCATCTTTACTCTTGTCATGTTACATGAACATGGTAGTCATTAGCACAATTTTCCTGCTTCATCCTGGTCCACTTGACCCAAAGAACTAACTCACTCTCATCCCAATCAGCTTTTACCCAAACCAGCACTTCCACCCTCTTAATTGATATAGCGCTCTCCGAAGTTTGCAGCACTTTTCTAATTGAGATATTATAATACTTTGGTTTGAACGATTTCATTCAGGTAATCATTGGAAGGACACAGCTTTGCTGTTCATACATACTGGCATACGATGCACCTAATTCTATTATAATACTTGCTGCAAAACTACTAAATCCTTATAGTGAAATGACGCTTCAGATTACTACAATTCCTAATTATGTAAAAAGCTATAATGACTAACCCCAGGGTTTAATAGTACTAGCTATCACATGTTCAACATGATTATCATGTATTCTGTTTTTTCCCAACGAATTTTAGCATCATTAGATCTTGGTTAATTTGTTCCAAACTAGTTAACTAGGAGCATTATTCTGGTACTTTGCTGTTTTAGCATTAAAGTCTAAAATTGATCTTATTCAGTACCATGAAGTTAACGACATTTTTTGTTAGACTTTAATATTTACAATATGGATACTATTGTGAGTCAAAGCTCTCATTAATGTATGGATCAATGATAAATGATAGAGATGACTGCAAGACAAGCGCATTGATTGAACATGAGATCATAGGTAAAGAAAAGTAGAGAATGGACAGTAGATTAAATAGATTCGACTTGTGCAAGAGATAATGAATTCCATCGATTTCAAACTTAGATACTTGTCATGACAGAGGTTTTTTAGCAAATGATTTCC